ATAATTATTATTATTATTATATAGGGGCGATCTCACGCACATAAAGTGGTTTTCAGAACGGCCCTGTGGAAAAGATTATAAAAAAGTAAAAGCTATACAAAACAATGCTACTCAAACGTAAAAGATACGATATAAATAAAATATGATAAAATTAAGGAATGCGTTCAAGTTTCTTTTTAAAAAGTACAATAGATTCAGTTTCCTGTATTTCAAGACTTAAAAGGTTAAAATCGAGAGCTCCTTGGTATGTGATTTTTTGCCTTGCCCAGTTTGTTTTGGGAGCAGAAAGGTGCAGATTCTTGCGCTGGCGGGTATCATAATGATGAATGGCATTATTTTGTCTAAAATTAAAATTAAAATCGCTGATTTTATAAAGGCATCTAAAAATAAAAACACATCGGTGAAGGTACCGTCTGTGATCTAAGTGCTTCCACTCTAGTTCCTCAAGAGCTTCGGTGACGGAGGAATATTTTTGTTTCTCTGAAATTAATTTCGCTGCTTTGTTTTGTTGTACTTGGAGATCGTTCATCAGTTGAGTGTTGTTTTTGTCATCCCATATAATGTCACCATATTCAAAAAGTGGAGGAATTAGGGAGTGACAAAGTGTTAGGCGAGCGTGTAGTGGTAGAAGAGGCTTGATTCGTCTCAGAAGTCCAAGTCGCTGGTTGGTCTTATTTACAATGTTTTTTTATGTGCTCATCCCAAGACAGATCTTTTCTAAGTGTCACACCCAAGTATTTGAATGTATTGCCTTGTTCAAGAGGGCTTTCATTGATCTTAATAGAAACAGTGTTTAAGGACTTTAGATGACGAGTGCTTCCAAATAAAACAAATCTTGATTTATCGCAATTACAAAACATTAAAAAATATCTCACTCCTGGTATAGTTGACGTATACCCCTAAACTACAGCTTAATATGCAACTCTAAAAGTGTCGGTTATTGTCAGATGTTAACTTGACCTTAAACGTCTAGGAGGAAAAAGGTGCGCAATTTGTAGGGGTGGTTGATCAAATCTCATATAGGAGAGGGGTATGATTTTATGCTTTCAAAATGATAGATCTGCCCAAGAGCTTTTTGCTGTTCAAATTTGATAAAAACTGAACTAATATTGAGCATGTTATGGTATTTTGTGTCACGTGGCACTTTTGGGAGTGAGAGGGTTATGGCGACTGCAGATTAGGCGATGACGGGTTTCCAAAGTCCTGGAACAGGAGACATATGTGTGCCAGCAAGGAGAAAGTTTGCTCCTGAACGAGAAGGCATCTTGCAGCATTTATTTATCGTATTTAACCCAGAGAGAGAGCAGACAGACGGTTATTAAAAACGATCATCGTATTCTGATTACTACTTTGTAGGCCATTTTTTTCTTAATCAATTCATTCATTAGGTATGGTCATTATTTTTCAATCTTTGATCATGGAACAGAGACCTAATCGCATATCATTGTGGGTACAAATGCAGGTCTTTAGCTAGAAGAATATAATCTCTCTCTTCTTTCGAATTCTAAATTAGGGACGAACAAATAAACCAAACTCGACAATAGCATCTAATTGGTTCGACACGCTCCGTCACTTCTTATTCACATTTCCTAACCAAGTCTTTCTTTCCATAGAGATATGCACATACTGCTAAAATTAAGCCCTTTAGCGCGAGCCAAAAAAAGTTAAAAAATCTAAAACTCGTGTGAAATGGGTTGGTCAAAAATGAGAAAACCGGAAAATGCCTTTATTTTATTTCTAAGCGGTAGAATTCTGTAGTAGTCGAGATTAGGATTAACCGTGTATAGAGGTGTCTTTCTTCTTTTTACTACACTTCGAACGCAATTGAAATGTTCACAGTAGGGCCTCAAAATGAATCTTCATATATCGGAGAACTGCATGCCACATCATTCATTTCCCTGAACTTTTATGACTAGTGAGTCATATTTCCAGTTTGCTAAAAGGAAACCAACCACCTTTAATTCAAAAGTCAAAACCAGTATCCAACAACTGAAACACACAACCGATAAATGGAAGGCAAGAGTAAGGATCTTTATTTCTTCAACAAATCTGGTATTAAAATAACACAATTATTTGCAGGTAATAAAATAGACCTGATTAGCATAAGATCCACCTTTCCCATCATCCTTAAAAGCTGTAGATTTTCCATACTTATCGAAAGTTTGTGACGCAAGGACACTACCGGCACACCAGCCACCATCCTGAACTGCAAACATACTGTGGCCCGCTCTCATTGCAGCCGCGGCGCACTTGGCAACGGGGTTCGTACGAGAAGAAAAATATCCATCCAAGATAGAGTCCTTTCCTTCCAACGTTGGGATTGCACGACTTCCAGTATCCTTATAGCATCCAACCTCATCATAACCTGGACAACAATGGACCAACAGAAGCAGTATTAAAGATGCATGTGCCATAATTTACATTCTTTCTTTTCGTCCTCGAAAACGTGGGCCAGGATCACGCACACAGATCCTGGAAATGAAGTCTTTCTCCATACACGTTATTGCCAAGTTTCTCTCTTTCTTCCTACCAGCTTAAACAATGCAAAGAGACATCATGATAGACTTACGACTTCAGAGGTTTCTAAACTGTAGCTTGATTGTGTGACCAGCTATCCGCTCACCTGTGATGTAGTAAACTTGATTGGCCCATGGTCCACCTTTACCATCTGACTTGCAGGCTGACGATTTGCCATATTTGTTGAAAGTCTTGCCAGCCGTAGCACTGGATGCACACCATCCACCATTTTGAACTGCAAAAATGTGGAATCCTCGTTTCTTAGCTGCTTTATGGCACTTTTCGATGGAGTCTCGTCTTGTCTAGTAGCTGCCATCCAAGATGGAATCTTGTCCTTCTATTGATGGTATGGCGCGGCTTCCCTGATCTTGAAAACATTCAATTGTCGCGCATCGAGGACGATAATCTGTTAAGATAGGTTAAGCAATGCTAACTCAGTAACACATTAACTGTAAACAGTTGAAGGTTTGCACTGTGAACAGTAATTTGTTGAAGAGCTGAACGGCATGACAATGAACATTAATCTTACTTAATGATTTCAAATACAGCAATATACTGATTATGTAAAAAAACAAACAACAAACAAAAAAGTGGTGGTGGTGGTAGAAACATCCCCAGATGTTTAAAAGCATAACTTAAAGATGTAAAGTCCGGAAAAAGTAAGACATGCTATAATTGTGTAATGAGCAATGGTTTTTTTGAAAGGAAACGGTCATTAGTTAATTAGGTGAAAGCATTTTTTTTTGGAGGGCCGACGCGCGGGGAGTGTCACAATTTTCTGGGCACCTGATTTCTGTGTTAACCTTGAAAACTGCAAATATTTTGGACTACTTTAAACAACCATTCCAACTTCATTGCGAATAGTCTGAAAATAAGTCTAGTTTCAAAAACTCTAGATCTATGAAGATTTGACGATCTAACAGTACCAACAATGAATGCATACAGAATGGCGGATGTGATCAGTCAGATTCAGTGGAAGACTCGGAGTAAAGTGCACATCTTGACGTTTCCCAGCATGATGGACCTATATCTTCGGAACTACTCTGAACTACTGCTGTGTCCAGGAGATTTTTAGTATTTTCACTGTCATCGATTTCACTACCATCGCTTTCATCGGCACCTCTTTCATTCCCATAACTTTTTTTGGCACCACTGTGTCATCACCGCTTCCATCATCACTGTCATTTTCCACAAAACCAAAAATCTTGCACAGCTCGGATTTTGCAGCTTCCAGACAACTACATCTAGAGGACGTCAAAGCCACTGCCCACTTCTTTTGTCTCTTTCCAAGTTCGGTGGCGTCCTCTCTGCGTATCCTCTTTCGCACATGTCTTTCTCTCTACTAGTTCTAACACAATCATCTTCAGCACCTCAATCATTCTTGGTAAATGACTCACCTTCTGTTTCCGTTTCTTATCAATGTTTTTGTTCTGCTTTTTGGGCGTGACTTCCTTTTCATTTTCGTCAGTATTTCACATTGAAGTGAAAACTCCTGTGTCCAGATTCTCATGCCAACTGAAAAGAAGCTATCTCAGGGGAGGGACACAATTTTTTAGGCTGATGCTCTTGAAGGGGGCAATGATTTTCATGAGGTTCAAAATTTTTGAGTCCTCATTGTACACATTTTTACGCCCCCACCCCCAGCCCCTCCAAATAGTTTACGACAGCACCTTTAGAGTCTTCATTTGTGTTGTCTGTCTAAACTACCCCTGAAATTTCCTGGCATCTCTGAAAGGCCGATGTGAAATAATATTGATATTTAGCTAGCTGATTTTTTCTTTATTGTCAGTTTTCGTATGTTTGCTTGTCTAAAAGATTCTCTTGTTAGACCAGACTTCCTGCCACATTTGACAAGGTTCAACCTTGCTACATTTTACATCCATTCTTTGATTAAAAAGTTTCTTTCTAATTGAAGGGTGTCCTTCGGTTGTCTTTGAACAGAGCACAACGTCTCACACTTGCCACATTGCACATAGTTGGAAACACTGGAACAGAGGAAGGAAACGACAAGGAAAACTTGATTCTTTGTACGATCCATACTGTGAGAAATTAAGGAATATCACATCAATTAATCGCGACATATCTGTTAGGTTGTTCCGCGTTAAAACCAGTTGTCAGTTCAGTCTCTGTAAAACCCTTCTTTTCTCAGTAAGAACCTTCAATTTTTTGAAGGGGGTAAAAAGGGTACGTAACTTTGTCGATCCGTGCCATTTTATGCCAAGTCTGTCGATCCGCCAATATTTTCGTTCAAATCCGAAAGTGCATTGTTAGAAACATTATTTTCACTCCAACAGTATGTAGGATGTTTAAGCAATAGTGCACTTTTCGCATAACTTTCGAGAATATTGTCACAAATACGCGCGAATCTAAAACGTCACAACCGTGTTTACATACTCCCATCTAAACACACCTATCGACCACACTTAAAACCAAAATAACAAATACAGAAATTAATAAATACGAACTTAAACTTAAATAAACCGAAAATACAACAATACGAAAAACAGAAAAAAATAAACAGGAAAAACGAGATTACTTACAAGATCTGTACGGCACTCCGGAACTAACAACGACTGAATACAACAAGAACTACAGCGCTAAAAGAATAGACCTAACGAGGTTACGTGATAAACAGTAGACGATTACATACCACAACGTGAAAAAGCCAATTTGCATTTAAAAACTGCAGGAAAAAAGTACGCAAAAAATTAACCTATAACAACAAAGACGAAAACAAAAAAGAGAAGGCGACCAAAACCGGAAAAACGTAACTCTCTACAATGCGTTTTGAGTCGTTTTTGTCTGAAAGAGGGTATGGTTTGTCCGCACTGGCTAGAATTAGATATTTTAGACTATCATTGCTCTCATTCATTGCTTGACAAGTGCGATGTAATTAACATCGGCAATTTCAAAGTAGAGTCTGGTCTGAGATAAGGTATCGATTTTTCGGTCAGGTCTGAAATAGGGAGGGAAATAATCGCTTATTTTGGGCTTTTGATATCGAATGCATTTTCAGCATTATCTGAGGCACCGATAAAATACATGTCAGTGGACCTTTTCGACGATATCGCGCTTTTCAGTAAAAGTAAAAAAATAAATAAGCCTCACCGCTAACTTTATCACGCCGAATTTAGTAAAGATGCGAGGTTTCATAAGAAACCGTTACGAGCTCTTGCAGGATCAATGATTGCCCCCTAATATTCATTTATTTGTACAAATTAGCGGGTTTGGAAGCCCGGGCATTTTCATGAAATTATAACGGTTGTTATTCACTAAATTTGGCATGATTCATCAATTTATGGATGTGGGCAGGTTTTTGTTTATGTGAATTAAAAACACGAAAACGTGTTGATGTTATGTGACATCTTGGCCTAGACATAAGTTGTTCTGCCATCAAAACTGCTTCAGGACGTTTTCGGAAGTTTTTGAGAAACCTTCGGACACTCCAGGATAGTCTTGGAAAGGTTTGGAAGTCTTCGGTGTATTTTGGAAATCAACTCAATTCCCAATCTAACAGAGTTGCAATTTAGTTTTCGTGTAAAAGTTCATCGGTAAAGTGATAAATTTTGATAACATTGTCAAGTATTCGTTCGCGAAAACTGCATGGAAGTCAACATACTCCATAAGGATTACACTATTCCAACAACAATGCCAAGCCTGAGTTTAAATAATCGAGTCTCCTCCGAAAAAAGAAATAAAGTGGATATAACACTAACATACCGACCCTAGCCAAGCAAATATCTATGATCCGAACTTTGTTTAGGATCCACAAACCGAACTTCATTGACCAGGTAGAGTCTGGAGTCCAAAGCTCAACCCTCACAGCTAATCCATGATCCGCCGTTTTTTTTTTTCGAAATCCGCCAATCCGTTCAAACAGTATCGCAAAAAAGTCACGTAATCCCTGCGCTTTTTAAAGCCAAATACGTCGATCAGCAAACCTATCCAGCCCTCCTCTTAACTGGATAAAATCATAAAATAAAACTGCACAAAAATGTTATTTCGGTTTATTAATAAGCGTTAATGGTGTGTGTCCTGAGTCGTACTTAGCCTGCGTAGCAAGCGTTTTTGTGGGGTTCGGAAACAAGGGATTACAGCGCGAAGAATGGAGCTGTTAACTATTAACTCTCATCGGGGGAGAGAAGGAGAAAAGAGACAAGCTCTTTAATGCTCGGAAACCTGAGAATCTCTCCCTCGATGACAGTTAATAGTTAACGACGTTATTACTCGAAACTTGAGACGTAATCGAAGCGTCGGCAGACGAGATATATTCGGAAATGTAAACCGCCTTCGCTTTATTCAAATCCCTTCTAAACCTCTCAAAAAGACACAGGAACAAAGGTAAACAACAGTACATTTATTTTTATTGCTCATAAAGTGTTCGGGTACCCCGTGGCTCTTTGATTGATGACGTCATTTGACGAGTACCTGTCAAAATGGCTGCTTGGTATACACGTGACGTCATCATTATCTAAAATCCAAAACTAAATAGCCGCCAAAATTTTTTTCCTCGTCAGGCATAAGAGGCGGTAAATTTATATCTGTTGATAACTTTTTATATTTGTTAATAGCTTGCCTCGTCTGAAAACAGGCACATTTTGAATTTCAGTTATGACCAGTTATGGCGGTGCGTGAGGTTTCGTTTGTCGAAAAATATATCTATACTTGTCTCGTAAATTTTAGCCTTTTTAGAGTTAAAGTATTGGGAACTGAAAGTGCTTATTTAAATGTTTGCTTGATCAGTACTGATAATCAGTAGCCCAGATAGCTAAAGTAAGTTCCAGATGTTTACACTATTTTCCGGCCGCCATGTTGGTGTACCATTGGAGGTGCAATGGACCTAAAACTCGGAGAAGTGTCTTCTTTATTTTTCTCCTATTATAGCATTATTTTTTGACTTTATCCACTGAATGGTTTTCGAACTATTTTTTTATTGCGTGACAATGCAAACCAAGAATATGACTTTTTTTTTTTTTTGGATGCAGTCCATTCAATAAACATAGTCATTACTTTTAAAATCTTTGATAACGGCCTGAAGAGGACACATCGCACCAACCCAAATTCAGCACGTGCTATCGAACAAAGAAAAGTTACAAAAATACTATCCGCTTTACGGTCGAACGTTTGACACAAACTCCATTAAAATATATATTTTCTGAAAGCTTAAGAATTGTAGATTACGAAGATATATTCATTAAAATAAAAAAATTGAGGTTTTCCGAATATAACGCCCTATTTCCCAAAGAGCAGAGGTTCACTAATCAAGTTCGTTTCCGGTAGGATTTCAGCGCGAGGATGCGATCAACATCGCTCTGTATGTCTTCTTGACACCTTTCTCTAAAAAAACCTGCTAAAAAACGGTGTCGGGAAATTTTGATTACTTGTCTGGTTTGTTTTTGGAAGGCAGTTAAACTTTGAGAGTTGATAAAGCAGGTATTCTCTTCACAAAAGCGCCATTGCAGCAATGCTTAGAGAATGTCAAACGCCTTCCCTCGTCCAGTGCAAGCAACTTCTCCTGCTCGAAGCAGGAACCTTTGTCGCTAGCAGCTAACGCACAGCCCAGTTCTAACCGAATGTTTTTCCCTAGAACCTTTTCCCCCGACTTCTACCTCTGTGGTGCTTTCTTCGCACCTGCAAATGGACACGAATGTTGCGTTTCTTCTGCGACATATTTACGAACGGAGAACACTGCGAAGAGCTCGTCGTCTTCCAAATACAATCCTTTGACAACCGTACATACGCGGCAATCTGTTACGCAACTTTTTAATGTAAGTTTAATTTTCGTAACAACCCGTTGACAGCTCTCAAATGCAAAGGAACGTTTTTCGTTTCGGGCTTTGCTTAGAATCAACCTTTTCTTCTCAGAAATCTTTTTAAACAAAAGATCGCAATAAGATCTATCTGAAAAAGCGGACAATTTTTTGGGAAAATGGTCAATTTTGGGGCATAATGATACCTTAATCACGTGACATGGGTTCGACAGGAACGAGAAGTCTGTTACGACTGTTATAAAGTAAATTCATTTTACTTCCTGAATAGCATCCTTCGGTAGTTGAGATGGAAACTAAGCGTGTACAGATGCGACTTTCGTTTCTATATACACATTGTTTACTCGAAACTGGATCCCCTGATTGATTACATTGAAAAAAGTGCACATGTTGACACCTGTTAAACTGTAGGTGAAATCAGCAATGTTTCATTTTAATGCATTTCAGATGGCTAATGAATCAAGACTGGCAGATATACTGATTTGAAAATTCAGCGCAATATCTAAATGAAACACACGCAACACGGGAATAGAATGCTATAATGAAAATCTTTATTGCTTCATCATGATCAACTCTGGTACTGAAATACTAATCAATCATTCTCAAGCAATAAAATAAACCTCATTCGCCCAAGGTCCTCCTTCGCCGCCATTCCAACAAGCTGTAGATTCTCCGTACCTGTTGAAGGTCAGCGGAGCAGTAGCACTAGAGAAACACTGGCCACCATTCTGAACTGCAAACATGTGGTAACCCCGTTTCATTGCAGCCACGGCGCACTTGGCAATGGGGCTCACTCGATGCTGGTAAGATCCGTCCAAGATAGAATCCTTTCCTTCCAACGTTGGGATTGCACGACTTGCTGTGTCCTTATAGCATCCGATAGAAACATAACCTAATAAGAAAATGACAGCATAAGAAATTACATAAAAGATGTACGCCCTCAGGTTATTTGTCAAGCCAGTTGCTGATGCAGTTGATGCTTTGTCGAAGCCGAACTTAAGAAATTTACCACCTAAAAAACATTGTTTGGAAAAAAACCATGGAGGTCCTGGTCAAATTTACAATGTTGCTACTTTAAGATCACCTATGGAAAGCCAGTGCCGGTCCAAGTGTTAAATGGGTAAAACTTTGCAAAACATTGTTCTTTTTCTGCAGCGTGCACCTTGCTTAAAGAGTCCATACATCACTAATTTGTCGGCAATCTTTTGTCAACAATTGTTGTTGCCATTATTCAATTTTCACTAATTTCCAGTTGTCAGCTCAAAGAAGTGCAGTCGCACTGCAAGATATGAAATAGTAAGGTAGTAAGCCACGAGTTTACAGATTCAAAGTATACTTAATGGTTTTCGTTTACTGATTTTTGGTTTTTTAAAGTCGTTTTGTTGAAAACTAAATGCGGACTTAGACAAAAAAAGACAACGAACAGTCAAAATGACTAGCTACCATGGTTGTTGGTTTAAGGTTGTGGCGCTAATAAAGGTGATTAAAGAAGCAGCAGTGATTTAAATGCTGTACCTTTGATCACATAAACTTGATTGGCCCAAGGTCCTCCTTCGCCGCCATTCCAACAAGCTGTAGATCTTCCGTATTTGTAGAATGTCAGCGGTGCAGTAGCACTAGCGAAACACTGGCCACCATTCTGAACTGCAAACATGTTGTAACCCCAACTTAATGCAGCCACGGCGCACTTGGCAATGGGATTCACACGGTGCGTGTACGATCCGTCCAGGATGGAAGAAAGTCCTTCCAATGTTGGAATCGCACGAGTTGCTGTATCCTTATAGCACCCCACAGAAACATAACCTAAAGATGGAGAGTGAGAGAAAAATAAATCCGATGTGTTAGGATTGTGCAATGAGTAGGGTATTCTGTTTTTTGGAATCAAGTATAGTCCAATCTGGCCTCTGCAGGCTTTTTTTTTATGCTGACTGTCCAAAAAAAAAACACAAATCCAATCTATGAAAAGGTCGACAATGGAGTAGCACTGATATCAAGCCAGCTGAGTTTTTCCAGTTTGTCTTCTAGTCATGTTTGCTCGTCTATAAACTTCCCTAGTAAACCAGCTTGGGAGGGAACTGAGAAAGTCCGCCTCATTTAACTTGGTTTAACTATATTTTGTTTTCATTAAACTTCGAGTAAAAAGTTGGGTGGCCTTCATATCACTTTGACAAGAGCACTTTGTCTCAGACTTACCACATTGCACATAGCTGCAAGCAATGGCGCAGAGGAAGGCAACGACAAGGACTTGATTCTTTGTACGAGGCATTTTTCAGTCGTAACTGTGAAAAACTAAGAAATGTCACCGCATTCATTTAGTCTTGTTCTCAATACAGCTTGTTTAAGAAGGTTGTTCCGGGTTAGTCAGTTAAGTCTCCGTAAAACCCCTCCATTTTCAGGGAGAGAAATTACTTTACTGGATAACCCAGAAGGTCAAAAAAGTGAGGTGTTCATGGTTTGGATGTTCCCTGATCGTTCTGATTCAAATCTTATTTTCTTTGATCGCGAACAGGATTTCTAGCTTTTTTCGCGGCCGCGTAGCAACTTAGCATACAGTGGTCGGGCACGAAAGATACCAAATTTTCTCTTCGGTCGCAGACAAAAAAAAATAGTTTTTTTTTTAAAATTGCTTTTAATATTCAAAGTCTTTGATTTTAGACTTGTTAACATCACATCCTGTGAGTCACGATCGTTTCGAACTGAAATGACTTAATTTCTTCCTGCTAAAGAGAGATGTAACTTCTGCAAAAGCGAAAATTGTAGACGATTAAGATGCGACTGCAAAACTTTTCTGACGTCGCCGAATAAAGAAGGAATTTTGGTCAACAGAGGATCACGCTATTGTGCACGTCCACGGCAATAACACAACGAGTCTTCAAATATTTAATCCCTTATCATGATCGGGATTTCGTCCTCTCCTCTGAAATCTTCTCAGTTTGCTGTGAAGCACAACCGACAAGCGAAAGGTATTCACCATCTCACAGTATTTTATCACTCCAATCAATTATTTAAACCCGTAGCAGAACTGATAAAAACTATGCTTACACTAACGATGGCTCGACGTCGATTTCGAGATCCGCTTATGACCTGTATTAAAATTGATAAGAGCTTACCTGCTTCAATAGCTTTGCTGGATACTGCTCCACTTTTTTCGCACTTGAATTTACAAGTACCGCCGTATTTATGCTGAACTGTAGCTAATAATAGTTTTCAAATTCACCTATCGGTCAGTCAACAAGTCAAAAGAATAATAACCATAATACGGAAGTTCGACGGTTAAGATTCATGCAGTGATGTTAAAATTACTGGTATCTTACACGACTCTTCAATAGAGACTATAGTGATTAACGGCACGTTTTGGGCATCGACATCATGAACACAGTAGAGTTAACGGTATACAGAGAAAGATCAGATCGAGTAAAGCGCCGGAAGCTAAGACCGGAGCCTAATCAAAACACAGTGACAGGAGCCATTGTTAATCTGTCCATCGAATGATATTTGGATTATCGACTTTGTCAAAAATAAAGCAAGCGCGCATGAGCCAAGAAAAATGAACAGGTTTTGGCCCCTCATATGCGTAAATCGGAAAATCACGTGTAATGGGTTTCACAAGGGAACAAGAAGTCTATTATTAAACAAATTTATTTACATTAAGCGTCTTGTGATTATGCGGCCAAGACAAACGATCTCAAGGAGAAACTTTCGTAAGGCTTAGAACATGCCGCCTAGGCAAAAACCCCGGGCAAAAAAAATATCAGAGAACCCACTGAGTCAACCGGGCGCGTCCTGGGCTTTTTTCGCGGTATACCTCTCTACTAGGGCCTCGGGTAAAGTCTCGTAGACCGCCGCGTACCACGAGCGCGAGAGGCGCTTGAATCGGGAGCGCGACGGACGGAGCAAAAACCTGCGCAATCAGGGTATTAACTCCCGCGGGATAAACCTGTCCTCACATTGACCAAAGTTTAATATAAGAAAACTCAAGGGATTGATTTTCAGAAAGGTTCTGCTACTTCTGTGCATATGAAAGGGATAATATGAAAGTGAACCGATCAAAATGATAATGATAACTAAATAAAGGTTACATGTAAACGCTGTATACAGTGGTTTTTTTTTTTAATTGGGTCTGAAAATCATGTCTTGGGTTCGTTGCTTTTCCCAGTTTCTTATCCACGGCAATTTCAATCTCTGTTTCACGTATTGTATCTGATATGAGCACGTGTATTTGTTCATATAACGCTATGGAATATTCGTATTTTTCACGGCCCAGTTTAGGCTGAAAATCATATGCCGTTGACTTTGAGGGTGTTGAAGTAATTTTGAAGCCAGACTGCAGGACATGAAAGACTTAAATGACGCTCATAGCTTCTTGGAGAAATTTTGCTAGCATCGAACATACGGCTAGTGCTGTTTTTGTTGGCTTTTGACTAACTTTGCCGTTTAGAGAAAGGAAGAATTTTCAACACAAAATAAAAGCTTTCAGCACAAAATTAAATTCTTTTCAAAATCCCTAATTTCTAAAACTTTTGCAAATTTCAGCCTCAGTTTTCTTATAAAATATATTCTTATAAAAAGAAGAAAGTTTATCCGACGAGAACGTACAGGCGACGGTGAAAACCTCTGCGGCGCTGATCAGTGCAACAACTTGCGCTTGTCGAGCCGTTCGCGCCTCCCTAACGAAGGCAAAATAGAGACGATGAGATAGTTTCTTACTATTGACGCCAATCCCGAGAAACCGCTAGTGTACTTAATGAACAGGATTCATAAATAAGGAAAAATCCAGTTTAAGTCATTTAGGAACCTCTTCAATGAGAAAATTTGGGTTTCCCGGTATAAACTTTGACTGCCACGCACAGAAAATATATTCAATGTTTGAGCTTCCTGTTTCGCTGCGGAAATTTGTTGCGACTTCATCAAATCATTCTAAAGCATGAACAATCTGAAGAATGGCTTATTCTTATCGCTGTTGTAGCAAACCAAACCAAAAAAGAAGTTTGATTTATCATAGAAACACGAACCATAGACTTGATTATCAACCGTTGATTTTGAAACTACGCAGGATCGATCAGGAGCCAACGTAGACTGGACTCGAAATCGAGCATACATGAACGGCGAATTATCAAGTTCCTAATTTACGCTGTTACAAATTCCCGTTTGTTTTACAACGGCCGTTTCCTTCTCCCTTTCGGCCTCTTGCGATCGTCGAGAAGCGCGAGCAACATCAGCTGTCGTGCTCTCGGCTCTCATAACGGTAAGGGAAAACACAGCTGTGAATAGGACAAGAGCTAAGAACACATCTGAATAACGCGCAAGAAAACTGTGAAAACATTGAAGAGCAGGTGTTACCTTCTACTCCTCCGTGAAATCTGATGTGTCTATGTTCCACGAAAAGGGGAATAAACTATTGTTTTCAGTCACTTATTTTTTCAATTACAAGCCAAAAGAAATTTTCATAAATGCTTCAGATTGGGGGACCAGAGAGGTAGAATACTCTACAAAACGAAATAATTACTAGAAGATAGTTTCTTCGAGCGCGCGAGAGATACGAGCAAGTGCGAGAGGCGCAAACATATCTTTTCCCGGCCCACCCCTTTGCGTTCGAGCTTTTTCAAATCCCATGCGGTTTATATATTATCAGGAGCCATTATTATAGCTCCTGACATTATACTTCTTCTTGCAATGTCGACGAACTCAAGACAAAATGGAGGGTCTGAGAACATGTTGTCAAAAATAACATCAGCCCTCCCTAGAAGAATTTCAGCCACTGTTGGTCAGGTCCACGTGGCCAGCTTGTAACCGAGGCTGTACTAGATTTCTGGGAAAGGGAAGATCGAGCTGTAGAAGTTGTTAGCAAATTTGCAGTTCGCAATTGTGCTGCTAATTTCGTTACTAAAACATGGATTACGACAAGTTGAGAAGAGACTTGAAAGAAAACAATCAAGACCATTTGTTCCAATACTGGGACACGCTACCCGAATACCAGCAATGGGTTTTCTACCATGACCTTCGAAACATCGACTACCCAAAGATCAACCGTTCGTTTGAGAAAACGATGAACGAAGCTAAAAGTATTGAAAAGAAGGATGAAAAGCTACAGCCAGTTCCTCCGGAGCAAGTAGGCAGCGTCATTGGAGCAGAAAACCAAGAGAAAGTCGACAGTTGGAGAGACAGAGGTTTGCAAGTGATCGGCGAAGGCAAAGTCGCCGTGCTGCTTCTTGCTGGTGGACAAGGCACCCGGTTAGGAGTTTCATATCCGAAGGGAATGTACGATGTCGGTTTACCTTCAGGGAAAACCCTTTATCAACTACAAGCTGAGAGAATCTTGAAAGTACAAGAACTGGCTTACAAACAAACCGGAAATAAGGCCACACTTCCCTGGTAAGTACTTGTAGCGCCATTAGCTCTTAAAGTTTTTTATTTGGTTTCAGTAAATTCTGCTGAACTAATCTTCAAAGTTTACTTAGCTTGAATTAAAGTCTTTGACTGATTTCTTTCATGATGCGCCTTTAATGATTTTAAATACGTCAACGTCTTTTGCTCAAGTTTTCAATGCAGGGAAGCGTGTCCATAACAACGAGTAAAATCATTCAAACATCAACACGTCTAATGATTCATCGATCTAGTGTTTCCTTCAGAAATGAAAAGGTTTGAAAGCTAGGTCCTTGTAACGGAATTTCAAAACCTTGTTGGTTGACCTGCATGCTTCACGACAATATTTTACTTATGCAGAGTCATGCTTTGTAATTAACAACAAATTTTAAACTCGTTGTCTTTATGTTCTTTATTTCCTCTTATGGCCTGTTCTGCCGGGGCTTGTCCATTCTTGGAAAATCCAGCGTTTTTTGCACCTTTGTGTGGTGGGGTTGGGGGGTAAGAGGTTATCAGTTTCGTGGTAATAATGCTTTGTTTTACACCAGTCAGAGGTTTTCACTTGATCATAGGAAGTTACTTAGACCTGAGGACTGCTGTATTATGTTGGCCCAAATGACCTAAATTAATTTTTCTACAAATCACAGTAAAATTGAGTAGAACTTCTCAAATATTGGCTTTTGAAAAGGAAGCTACTGCTCTTGAAGAGTGGCAAACATATACATCAACATGAAATTCAATGTCTGTTATGTACAGTTAACCTTAGCAGCACCTCAATCAGTCAAGGCGCCAAGTTGGGTATGATCATCTCACATCCAAAAAGTGTGCGGCAGCCTTAAAGGCTGAAAATATTCCGTTGATTTTGAGGGTGTTGAAGTAATTTTGAAGCCAGACTGAAGAATATGAAAGACTGGAATGGTGCTCATAGCTTCTTGGAGAAATTTTGCCACCATCGAACATACAGCTGATGCTTTTTTTGTTGCCTTTTGGCCGTTTAGAGGAAGGAAGAATTTTCAACACAATAGAAACTTTAAACACAAAATTACATTTTTTACAAAATCTCTAATTTCAAAAAATTTTGCAAATTTTGGCCTTGGTATTCTTGTAAAATATATTCTTATAAAAAGAAAAAAAGTTTATCCGATGAGAATGTACAGGCGAGGCGGTGAAAACCTCTGCGACACTGATCAGTACAACAAGTTGTGCCTGTCACGAGCTGTTCGCGCCTCCCTAACGAAGGCAAAATAGAAACAATGAGATAGTTTCTTACAATTGATGCCAATCCATTGGGATTGGTGTATAAGTCATTGAGGAACCTCATCAATGAGAAAATTTGGGATTCCTGGTGTGAACTTTGACTGCCACACACAAAAAATATATTCAATGTGTAAGCTTCCTGTTTTGGTGCAGAAATTTGTTGCGACTGACCACCAGATCATTCTAAAGCATGAACAATCCAAAGAATGGGTTATTCTTATCGCTGTTGTAGCAAACCAAACCAAAAAAATATGGCTTGTTTTATCATAGAAACACAAGCCGTAGACTCGATTATCAACCGTTGATTGGAAACTACGTAGGATCGATCAAGAGCCAATGTAGACTGGACTCGAAATTGAACCTACATGAACGACGAATTATCAATTTTCAAATTTACTGTTTTACATATTTCCATTTGTTTTAAAACGGCTGTTCCTTCTCCCTTTTGACCTTTTGCGATTGTCACGAAGCACGAGCAACATCAGCTGTCATGCCCTGGGCTCTCAAAACTGTAAGGAAAACACAGCTGTGAATAGGACAAGAGCCAAGAGCACATCTGAATAAAACGCAAGAGAACTGTGAAAACATTGAAGAGCAGGTGATACCTTCTACTCCTCTGTGAAATCTGATGTGTCTATGTTCCGCAAAAAGGGGAATAAACTATTGTTTCATGTCGCTTATTTTTTCAATTACAAGCCAAAAGAGATTTTCATAAATGCTTCAGACTGGGGTACTAGAGAGAAAGAACAGTCCACAAAGCGAAATAATTGTTACAAGATAGTTTCTTCGAGCGCGCGAGAGATGCAAGCAAGTGCGAGAGGTGCAAACATATCTTTTCCCGGCCCACCCCTTTATGTTCAAGCTTTTTCAAATCCCATGCAGTTTATATATTATCAGGAGCCATTATTATAGCTCCTGACATTATACTTCTTCTCGCAATGTCGATGAACTCAAGACAAAATAGAGGGTCTGAGGACATGTTGTCAAAAATAATATCACCCCTCCCTAGAAGAATTTCAGCCACTGTTGGTGAGGTCCACCTGGACAGCTTGTAACTGAGGCTGTATGTTTTACTACATTTCTGGGAAGGGGAAGATCGAGCTGTAGAAGTTTTTAGCAAATTTGCAGTTCGCAATTGTGCTGCTAATTTCGTTACTAAAACATGGATTATGACAAGTTGAGAAGAGACTTGAAAGATAACAATCAAGACCATTTGTTCCAATACTGGGACACACTACCCGAATACCAGCAATGGGTTTTCTACCATGACCTTCGAAACATTGACTACCCAAACATCAACCATTTGTTTGAGAAAACGATGAGCAAAGCTAAAAGTATTGAAAAGAAGGATGAAAAGCTACAACCAGTTCCTCCAGAGCAAGTAGGCAGCGTCATTGGAGCAGAAAACCAAGAGAAAGTCGACAGTTGGAGAGATAAAGGTTTGCAAGTGATCAGCGAAGGCAAAGTCGCCGTGCTGCTTCTTGCTGGTGGACAAGGCACCCGGTTAGGAGTTTCATATCCGAAGGGAATGTACGATGTTGGTTTACCTTCAGGGAAAACTGTATATCATCTTCAGGCTGAGAGAATCTTGAAAGTGCAAGAACTGGCTTATAAACAAACCAGAAATAAGGCCACACTTCCCTGGTAAGTATTTGTAGTGCCATTAGCACTTAGAGTTTTTTATTTGGTTTCAGCAAATTCTGCTGAACTAATCTTCAAAGTTTACTAAGCTTAAATTAAAGTATACATAGATTTTGCCGGCGAACAGTTCTCTATGCCATCAAAGAAGTTTTCTCATTTTGGAGACAAAACCAAAGTGAATATAAATAAAGTATAGACAAGGCTAATCTTTGGATATAGGGAAAGGCTTATACTTGTTTATTTCTCGCTCTTTCCTTGACTATCCCTCCCATTAGATTTTGCCATTAAAGCAGTTTTTTTCTTCAGAGACATCTATAAAAAATGCAAATAAAGTAGACAAGACTAAGTCATTTGAACACTGGGAAAGTGGGATACTCATTCCTAGTGATATGGGTATCCCTTTCCAATATGCTTGTTTGTTGAATGACGATATTTTGAATGTCCGGGAACTTTCAAAACCCTTGTCATAAAAGAAGGTATGTTATTAAATCACTATGCATGATAGAAGAATAATTATTATTGTTGAATAAAAATAATTGTGGTTGAAGCTGAACAAATGTTGTTGAATGAAAATGATTTTGGTAAAAGCTGAATAATTATTTTTGTTGAATGAAAATCATTTGGGTTGAAGTTGAACAAATGTTGTTGAATGACATTATTTTTGGTTGAAGTTGAACAAATATTTTTGTTGAATGAAAAGAATTTTGGTTGAAGTTGAAAGAAAATGCGTATTGTTGAATATGAATATAAAATGTTGAATATAAATGTATGTTGTTGATCATAAATATAAGTTGTTGAATATGACGGTGCAAGTTGTTCAATTTTGCAACACTTGGCTAACCATAGGAGACAACATCGACCACCAGCGAATCTGTTTGGACATCTTTATTGAATAAGTGAGAGGACCTGAGGCCTCAAGAGGAGACCCCCCAGGGCGGGAGGGAGGGTGAACAAAGCGACGCGAGAGTGAACGAAGGAAAAGCAAAGATATCAGATGACAACTCGTGATGAAAAGAACAACCTAGGCGACGAACTGCAAGGGCCTGGGTCTAATTAAGTTACTCTTAGGAATATGAACAATTATCCCCCCCACTCACCCGGATGTCCCCCCACCCCACTCACCCGGGGACAACATCGACCACCAGCGAGTCTGTTTGGGCATCTTTATTGAATAAGCGAGAGGGACTCAGGCCTCGAGAGGAGACCCCAAACCAAGAAGAGGCCCAAACAAGATTCGCAGGGGAAAGATGAAGAGGGAGAGGAGAAGGAAAAAGGGAAAAGGAGAAAAGAAAAAAAAAAAGGAACTGAACGAAAAAGATATACATATGTGACTAGAGGACAGGTCAATCATCCTGAATGAAACAAAGAAACTGTGTAACCGAGTATAAACAAAATACAGAAGCACGGAAATGGCAAATCAGCGAATGAAAAAAAAAAAGGAAAATGAGAATACAGAAACTGAACTAGAATGACTGAATGTGCTGAGACACAACGTGAGACAGCACAAGTCTGTCCACCAAAGGCAATGTTAAATACAGCATGTAGGCGTCAGTTCTCCAATCACCTTGGACTTTGATGAGCTCAGAGGGAATTCTGCATTGAAATGCAAATGTGGCACCCCCGTGACACAGGCTGTGACCAGAGAAGTCCTGTGGATCAAGAGACACCAGAGAGGCCAAATGCTTGATGCTATTGTTCAAGGATGTTGCTGTGATGCAGTCATTCTGATATGAAGCAGTGGTGTAAGTGAAGAGAGGGTAGCTAGTCAGGATGGAAACTGAGTTGAGCAACGAGTGCAGGGCAGCTGTGGGGCAGAGGGGAGATCCTGGAATACAAGGAACCGGGACCACAAGAGCAGTGTTTCCAGCCTGACGTGTTTTGGTGTGGGTAACTGTGAGGAGGGCACCTGAGTGGGTAAAAGTGATGCTGCCCCTGGACAAGACTAGATGACTGGAGAACTTTTCGAAAGACCGAGGGACGAGGTTGGCAGTTCTGAAGAGGGAGAAAAAACCCACAAGCAAGGCATACCACAAGGGGAGATGAGCAGAGTCACAAATATTGAGATGGCAGTAAAATTGTAGCAAAATGGCCGGTGTGAGAGGAACCTTGCG